ATGAATTTATTCTAGCATTATTATACATTTCAGTGGCACAAAGAAATCAGCTCGAATTCTACATTATTACCGTCATTATCATTCGTGATACTTTTATCATCCATCATTAATCATATTATTGCTGTTATTATCCTTAGTGATTGTGTCGTATTTGTATATCGATTCATAGCATCGTTTTTTATTAAATACTGAGTGTTATTGAGTAACTGTGTAGTGGAGTAAATATTTGAACGAAAACGTGGATATTTTTTTGATTGTAGTAAGCACTTTCCTCGTGCATCATTCTTGCTTTTGTTAACTAAATATGAGTCATGGTGATGATTCACAGCGTATTCATGTTTTGACAGCCTTATAGATGCAATGATGAAAGAATCGTTGAAGTAGCAGCGGAGGATGGTAGAAAATTAGTGTTTTCGTTATAGACGCGCTTGCATTGGTCGCGTGGAACTTTTGAACTTTGAAAGCATCGAAATAGGTTTCATCCGCGCACTGTGTGTGTTTTTTTTGCGAACTTAATCACAAATCGTTTTCATGATGAAGCACTATAGAAGACAGTTGTGGATTACGATCAGCAATTATTATACAGAGAAGTAAGACAGGTAATATCGATGAAGCAAAGAGCAGCGCTCGATGATTGGTACAGTACTATTTTAAACGATGTATCATCAAATATCAGGAATAGAGAACAACTTTCAACACGTTTTGAAGCTGAACCTATCAGCTTCGAAACATTGTCATCTTTTCGCATTGGTACTTTTTGATTGATGNAAAAAAAAAACAAAACAAACCAAGCACTGTTAGATGAACGTCAATATCGAGACTGCCAGCTTTGTTGACTGCAACACACGTGTAGATTCCTTCGTGATAGAGTTGTGCAGAATCTATCAGAATCTAAACATCATTTTCGGGTCATTTTGTGAGCATCATGAAAGTTGTTTCAACAACGATTCGAACTGTATGCTCCTTATTCAAAAAAGGGGCTTCTGATTAGGGGGATAAATATTTCAGAAATCGTTCTGCATTTGAAGATGTGTAAAAAGGATATTGCACTTAAAAATCGGCATCTCGTGATGCAGAAAAACATACGGCCTGCCCTCCGGCTGCGAGTCTGACACCGCGTTTAGCATGTCCCTCTTGCAGTAGTTGCCCATTCGCTAACCATGATATATCCGGTGATGGGACACCATTCACTGGACATGCGATTTCAATTGTATTGTTCTCGAGCACGGATAACTTCAGTTTGTACAATGATTCATCAGTACTGGGTGGAACTGAAAAACGAGCACATGCATTGAT